ATAAATAAAATTATTTCTAAAGTGGATGTTATTTGAAAGTCAAAACTGATTTGAATACTGAATAAAACTAACCCACAGTAAAAAAGAAAATTTAATGAAATTATATTATTATTCCCACAAATTCTAGCGAAACATTAATGAATTAATGCCATAATTACTGAAAAAAGATTGGTATAAAAAATGTGACATTTATTTTGAAATGCATTAGAGTTTTAAAAAAATAATTACATCTTTGAATAACTATGTCGTGGTTTAGGGTTAAATCCTAAGCCATCAAAATTTTCCATAACTTTCAGTTTTCTAAAGGCATATTAACAAAAAAAATTATCATTTAAATAAATTATTTTTTCGTTAAAATATTACCACGTATTCAAAGTATATTGTGTTAAACACCAAAAACACTGATTTATGCGGTTATTAATAGATTATGTAATCAAGAAAATGAAATTTGATTTGACTTTTATCGCATCCAAATGTAAATTTATGTCAAACGTTAACTTCAATTACAGCACAACTCATTTGCTTTCAACGAAATTATAGATTATTTCTTGCGTTCAATGCATTCAAACCGATTGTGGCTTTGATTTCTTGCCATTTGTTTGAGACATATACTAATCCATGGAAACAATTCCTTGAGTTTCTGTGTTTTGAATTTAATTTGTTATTTATATTCAAAGACTGTTTCTTCTCATTCAATGTGCGGCTGTTTTATCCGAAATGGCATTTATATGAGTCGATTAGCCCTTTTTTATTTCGATCAAACATTAGTTAATTAAATGTTTTGCCTCACAAGTGGTCTGTTATTTGCTATACTATTTGAATATAAATTTTAAGTTTATATTACTCGTGGCATTTATTGAGGATTTGGGTTTTTAATTAAAACATTAAATTTTCAATTAAAAGTTTGTCAAAAACAAAATTATCAATTAAAATCATATCAAGAGAATGCTATAAAAATATACAAATTTGTATTTTAGAAACAACTAATTTATTTCTTTCCACAATTTATACTCACTATTTCATTGTAATTCAAAATTTAATAAAAATTATTGATTGAAATTAAATTTGTTTTGGTTTTAATAAAAATATATTTACTTAAAAAATATAAAATATTGCGAAATATATTGTCTTTTTATCCACTCTTATAGTGTATTTCAATATGAAATTTGATATTTTCTTTCGACTTTTATTATTTTCCGAAATGACATCTTATGATATAAAAGTTTTTATATATCATTATATTCAATAATTTTTACATATTTTAATTTATCATAGTCATGTGTTTTGTAGATAATTTGTTCTTAATATCCAAATACAAATGTATATCATTTAATAAAAATATTAAAATAATTTCTTAAACAAAAAACATTTTATAAGTAAGAGTAGTTACTGTTGTAGTTTTCTTTAACCAATTTATTTGGAAAATATATGACAATATAATGTATTCAATGATAAGTTATCTCAATATTAATAAAATATTCAAAAAATAATTTCATACTTTTTTTGTCTTTGTCTAAACTATAAATCTTTGTTATAATTGAAATTTTGATCCATTTTTTAATAGTAAAAAATTCTTTCCAGTCGTGAAATATAAAAATTCTGTTATTAATTGAAAAATAAATATTTTACAAAATAAAAGCAAAATTATAATTGAAAATATGAATTTTAAGCAACTTTGAAACACTAATCTACTGTATATCCAATTATTTTGTTTATTTACTCTCTCATCGCAAACATAATCAATCATTTACTGACTTTTTAATTAAAAGACTTAAAGTAATTAATCTGTAATTTAGTGTCTCTAATGACAAACGTTTATAAGAATTAATTTTTAATTCTTTATTATTTAAAAGATTTTTTAATTAATTATTTTATAATTTTAATTACATTATTAAACTAATGATTAATATTAAAACGAGATTTGATATTAAATTATTTATTAATTAATTTCAATTTTTAAATTATGTCAACGAATAGGTTGTGCGGATTCTGGCGATGATTGTGCTATTGTTTGCGATTTGTTGGCTACCAATACATGTGTTCAGTCTATTAGTTTGGTTTTATCCCCAAATACTGAAAGTACAGACAAAACTCGGTTACCGGACATTCATTTGGACGTATTTTGTCTGTCATTTCATGTCTATGGGTTTGTCATCCTTTTCTTCTAACCCATCATTTAATCCGTTTCTCGCAATAGAAAAACACTAATATATCATTATATTCACGCTTTTTGACATTTAGGGCACAGTTTTGTCAATCCTATTGTCTACTGTTTCATGAGCTCCAACTTTCGCGTAAGTTTTTCTAATTGACTTTTATTATAGCATTTTATTTTAACTATGCTTTTGGCAGATATAATTAATTTTCCGCTCACTTAATTAATTGTTATGCGTTATGTTATGTTAATTATGTTAAATGATATGTTAATTAATACATCAAACAATTTTGCGTTCAATAAAGAGTTTACAAATAATTCACTTCTGACTGAAAACTGCACTTAAAATAAATTAAATATTGTGTTGACTTTGTGCTGAATTTTAGGTAAATTTGTGTTCAGTGCTAAACAAATACATTTCACGTCTGAAGTGCCGGCGCTCTGACTACCGGTTCGACGGCGAGAGTGAGTCCAACACCAGAAGTCAATTCGTGAGCCTTTACTCCACGAAATACAAGAGGAGAACCAATAATGAGAAGACTGACAAACAGATCGACGACAAGACCGATGTCTGAGTGATAGACACACTCTCTCTTTGGCCTATCTTTTTGCCAATTATAACAAATGTTAATTACATTTAATAAATACAATACAAACGAATTGTCATAATTTAGTATATTATACATACTGTTGTTGGATATAATAATATTGTTAATAATTTATTTATTTATTGTTTTGTGTTATATTCAAGATACTGTATTTGTAAATCTATTTTTCATATTAAATGTATGTGGTGGATATTTGAAATTTTATCCAATCGTATTGGCTTATTATAGTGTTTATGAAATACAGTAAAATTTACTTATAAATAACTTTATAATTGTTTGTTTTATAATGAATGCCAAATGAATATTATTTTAAAATAATAAAATAACAAACAATTTATTTTATATATCATTATTATTGTTGTAGAAATACAATTGTCAGTAATTACTTGGAATTAAATGTATTTAAATTGATGTTTAGAAAAAGACAATGTCAACTATACAATCATATTTATTTATTATAATTATATGTAATAATTATCAAAATAATTATCTATAAAATAAAATATATAATTTTGTTTTATATTTAAATTAATGCAAATTTATTTACTTTTAATTCTTGATATCAGATATTTTTATATTAATTAATTCAAATTTCTGATATACCTATAATATTAATATTAATTCCATAGACCTGTCATCCATTAAATAGAAATACGTGTAAAAAATAAATATTATAAGAATTCAATATAGAATTACATTAATTAAAATACAGAATATTCCAAATATAAAAAGTACATTGATGGTTACGACACCATGTGTTTGAAAATCAAAACTACAATAACTATTTTAAGCCTAATTCCGGACAATATTGGTATTGTAGTATATAATATATTTGTGTCTCAATATACTGTATAATAAAACAATATTTGATTATTTTTATAATCAATGAAGAGTCTAAGGGTTTTTGTCGAGAAATAACTTTATTTAATTAAACTAAAAATGTATACAGTGTTATACAAAGAGTTAGGCTTTAGATTTTACAGGCATAGGGAAATAAAGAGAGCATTAGTAGGGATAGGGGGTGAACAACATATAGGGACAGACAAAGGTAGGAAAGGGGAACATATTGTGGGGACTGGCAATTATCAGGAAAGATGATATTTTATTTCAATATATATATATAATTGCTATATGATTAATATTATTATTTTAAACTTTTAATATGATAAGAATCTCTTAGCTTATTACATTTTGTCACAGAATTTTATATACTTATATAATGTTAATTAAATGATTTTATTTTCAAATCGTTTACATGGTTTATAAATATATTTACAGTTCATTACCATACTAGTATAATTACAAATAATTGGTTACTATATTTAGGTACCACATTATACGTTAAGTTGGTAACTAAACATATTATTTGATATTAAAAAATTAAATTATAATTTTTAAATGTAGATGACAAATTGTGCATGATATATAGATTCTATATAGAATGTGATCGTTCACTCAATTCTAAGCCCATACGATAGGTGTCATTAATGTATTAACTGAATGTTTAAAATATAATAAGTTAAATATAAAAAGTAATATAAAGTATTTGTTATTAAATAATCATACATTAATTTCAATAATTTCTTTGATATAATAATTGTTAAATAGTATTTAATTATATAATTAGGAAATTTAATAATTTAATAAAAATAAATACAGTATATTGTTGTAGTCTTGACTGTATTAATAAACTAATGAATTATTAAATTAAAATTATTATTATAAATCTAATTAATGATTAATATTTAAAGTACGAATATAATAAAAAAAACTATAATTTGTTGCAAAATGTTTACATAGTAAATATCCACACAAATAGCACCTAGCTCATTGCTAACTTATGATTTATCAACTTAGTGTTAACTGAAATTAAATTATGTTAATTAATAAATATTTAATTGTTTATCAGTTTTATTATTTAAAAGTTGTTTTCGTCTGAGTATAAATAAATTATTAATTTAAAAGTTGAATATATTTTTAATTAAATTATTTATCATACATTATGTGTTAGGTGACATTTGTTAATAAAAAATGTTATTAACCTTTTTGCATGATTTATTTTTAAAAAGAAATTTAAAAATTTATAAATAACAAGAATTTGAAAATTCCATTCAATTCAATGCATTTATAAGTTATGATTAGAAGAATTTAAATTTATTTTGTATTTTTGTATAATTGAGAACTCAATAAATATAAATTTCATTTGTCATATGATTTCTTTATATGACATTCAAATGTTATCTACAGATACTAATAATTATATTAATATTTGATAATATTGTCTATTTTTAGAGCTTTTGATGTTTAAACTTATGATATAGCAATTGTTGGACATATGTTTTGTGTACACATTAATGAATGCAATAATTTTGATATAAAAATAATTGTTTGCATTGTATCTGAATTATCTGTTGAATGAATTTAAACTAAAATCCTTAAATTAATTAAAATATGAAAACATAGTATACAATAATCTGATATACAGATTGTATTACATCATCTCATATAACATGCATTAAGTAAATAATGAAGACAATGACAACACATCACAACAGTTGACAATTCATAATAAGTTGTAATTTTAATAATAACTTAGGATCTTATTTTATAATAGATAACTAGCCCAGGGCCCGCAATGGAGGGCATGAGAGCTAAAGTAACAAAAAACATAGTTTTATTCTTAGCCAACACATTATTATTCATATTGGAATTCTATTCTGTTACTAAATAAACAATTTTTGGTATTTACAGTAATAATAATATTATTAGTAATAATTAGTAATAATAATAATAGTTTCCAAACTCAGTTACCCACATTTCTCTAGCGTACTCAGCCATTTAAAGTTTAAAATATTATTAGTTTATTAAACAATTTAATAACTATGAAGTGTTTTATTTCAATATATAAACATTGAAATTTACAAATTGCTCACAAACTCTGTTACGCACTCCTCTCCAATTTCTGTTGTCTATTCCTTTCTATATGTTTCAAATGCATTCACCCCATTCACACCCATGTAACGCTTTTTTGCGTACTTGACTTACAATAACTTAATAGATGTATTGATATGCCTTTTGATGCATTAATTAAATTATAGATCTATTAATTATATATAATAACAATTTCATAAAATATTGCATATTGCATAAAGAATTAACCCTAAGATTTGTTGTTGCATAAAAACAACAGCAATTTTTGCATTTTTCTGATTTAATGAATAAGTTTAATATTAAATTTGTAAGTTTTTAAAACTTTTAACAAATTTTATTAAGTTTAGTAGGAAGATAGAAAATAACAACTTTTATTATGAAAACAATTTTTGGTAATGTTTTTGTTGGAGTTTGTTAAGAAAAAGTATCACAACTTTAAGCATGTTGTAAATAAACTACTAATAAATTTAACCATAAATAAATCTTGTTTTTAAATAAATATATTATATAAACGTACAGCACATGTATGAATGAATTTAAAATGAAACGAAAGCACTTGTAATTATTAAAAGCATTAATTATTGCATTTGTAAAAGTTTGTAATTTACAATATTATAATTGGTAATTGAATTGTAAGAACATTGAATATAAAAAGTGACATTAATTTATTAATTAACAATTTAATCAATAAGTTCCATTAAATTAAAACCACTTTAAAAATCAAACGTTATACAAAAAACTAATTTAATAGCAAATAACTGATTTTGAATCTTTTAACAAAACTCTGAAAACAAATATCAAACACAGTATGAGATTAAATGTCTCTAAATATAGAATCAAAAATTATCCCAAATATAATTTCCCATAAAATACTTTTACACCTAATTTATTAGATAAGAGTTAAGTATAGCTTATTTCATATACAGTATGTATAGTCTATGTCTCATATGGTTATCAGTGGTCGGCCAACGACTCAAACCGTTTCTAAAGTCAATCAAATTATTGCTATTTTTTGTGTTGCGAACAAATCTCATAAAAAGTAAATGATATGATAGAGTGGCAGAACGTAATGACATTTTCGATGCCTTTCAATGCATTGGCCATACGTTGAAGAATATTCTTTAACTCAACGCCAATATTATTATATTAAGCGTTGAATACAATATAAAACTAACCATTTTTTCGTGAACTGAATACCACTGAATGAGTTTCATCTTATGTCTAACACAGCATAATGTGATATACTATTCATGTAATGTACAAACACTGCTTTCCAATCTATTTAATGAATATTAGAGCATGTGATGAGAGAGAGAGA